GCGTTTGCCTTCGGCTCAGGTCATGATCCCAGGGTCCTGGGATCGAGTCCCGCATGGAGCTCTCTGCTCGGCGGGAAGCCTGCTCCTCCCTCTGCCTTTGCCTGCCGCTCCCCCTGCTTGTGTTCTCTATCTCTGTCAAATAAAATCTTAAAAAAAAAAAAAAAAGAAAATGTGTGCATTAAGAAAGAATGGCAAGATACACAAATATAAAGCTTACAGATGATTATATCACTCTACTGAGATTACTAGAGAAGTTTTTCTTTTTTCTGCTTATTTATACATTTAAATTTTTAGGAAAAGATGTATTACTTAGTGATGTAAAATTGATGAAAAGAAATTGAAGAAAAAATCAATATTAAGAGAGCAAAAAGATCACTGTTCAGGTTTTTTCCATGGTAAGACTTAAAGATACCCACCACAGTTTCCACAAACACATGTAAGCGCTACCATCATGTACGTTAGATTTTCTTTTGAGGTGCAATTCCTGTTTTACTTATTTTCTTTTTATTTTTAGATTTATTCTCCCTCTCCTCTACTCCAACCTTATCACTCATCCAAGTAATCCAGGCTAATAAACCCATATATCCTTTTTTTTATCTTTCTCTCCATGCTCACATAGTTATTCACAGAGATACCTATGTAGAGTTATACATGTGCACAAATAAGGGGGCATTAGTCATTGTTTTAGAAAAAATTGGACCATACTGTAGAATCATTTTGTGTATTGTTTTATGCCTTTAATAATACATTTGGGGGGGGTTGCCTGGATGGCTCAGTTGGTTAGGCATCTGCCTTTGGCTCAGGTCATGATCTCAGGGTGCTGGGATCGAGTCCCGCATCAGACTCCTTGCTCAGCGGGGAGCCTGCTTCTCCCTCTCCCTCTGCAGCTCCCCCTGCTTGTGCTTGCGCGCTCTCTCTCTCTCTCTCTCAAATAAATAAATAAAATCCTAAAAAATTATGTTTTGGAAATCCCTACAAATTAACTGTATAGTGCTAAACTTTCTCCTTTTAGTGGCTGCATGATATTACGTGCTGTGGATTTAACAAGTTACACTGGCCTCCAGGCTGTTCCTCCAGGTTCCCAAATGGGGGCGACGTTGTCCCCCAGGGATAGCTGGCAATTTTTAAAGAACTTTTGAGTTGTCAATAGCAGCAAGATGAACGCTATTGGTATCTAGTGGCCAGAGGCCAGGAAGACGGCCAAACATCACACAGGACAGCACCACAGTAATTCATTAGATCACCTAAAACATCACTCAGGGCCTGGGACACACCCATCGGGCATACTCTGATCTCAGGGCATTTGGCACTGGCCCTCCCTCTGACCACAATACTCTTGCTTAGGAATCCAAAAGGCTCACTAGTCACCGCCTTCAAGTCTTTTTTGAATGGCATTTTCCCACCACAGCCTAACTGACCAGCCTAGAAACTGTAATCCTTCCCCAACCATCCATATGCCTTCTCAATCCTACTTACTCTATTCCTTTTTCCACTCAGCTTCTAATGGGCCACATACTTTATTTACTTACCATGTTGATTCAATTAGCTTTTCCCTCCTTCTAGAACATGAACTCCACTGTGGCAATTGTGTTTTACTCACTAATGTATCCCCAGCACCTAGAACAGTGCCTAGCATTCAACAGGCCAATGAATGAACGAACAAGGGAACAAATAAATGACTGTATGAATGAGGGACACTCATTTTATTTCCCATTATTTTCAACTGCAAACAATGCTGAGGTAAATATCCTTATACATACGTGCTTATGTGGTGGTCCTTTTATTTCTATATGGTCAGAATGCTTTCCAAAATGGAAAATTTCCCATAACCATGGATGAGTATTCTCTAGCTACCTGCTCTCCATTTCTCAGCCATCTATTGGTGGCTTTTTTTTTTTTAATTAATTAATTAATTTATTTATTTTATTCTTATGTTAATCCCCATACATTACATCATTAGTTTTAGATGAAGTGTTCCATGATTCATTGTTTGTGCATAACACCCAGTGCTCCATGCAGAATGTGCCCTCCTCAATACCCACCACCAGGTTAACCCATCCTCCCACCCCCCTCCCCTCTAGAACCCTGTTTGTTTTTCAGAGTCCATTGTCTCTCATGGTTCGTCTACCCCTCCGATTTCCCCCGCTTTATTCTTCCCCTCCCGCTACCTTCTTCTTCTTCTTTTTTTTTTCTTAACATATATTGCATTATTTGTTTCAGAGGTACAGATCTGAGATTCAACAGTCTTGCACAATTCACAGCGCTTACCAGAGCACATACCCTCCCCAGTGTCCATCACCCAGTCACCCCATCCCTCCCACCCCACCCCCCACTCCAACAACACTCAGTTTGTTTCCTGCGATTAAGAATTCCTCTTATCAGTGAGGTCATATGATACATGTCTTTCTCTGTTTGACTTATTTCACTCAACATAATACCCTCCAGTTCCATCCACGTCGTTGCAAATGGCAAGATCTCATTCCTTTTGATGGCTGCAGAATATTCCATTGTATATATATACCACCTCTTCTTTATCCATTCATCTGTCGATGGACATCTTGGCTCTTTCCACAGTTTGGCTATTGTGGACATTGCTGCTATAAACATCGGGGTGCACGTACCCTTTCGGATCCCTACTTTTGTATCTTTGGGGTAAACACCCAGCAGTGCAATTGCTGGATCATATGGTAGCTCTATTTTCAACTTTTTGAGGAACCTCCATACAGTTTTCCAGAGTGGCTGCACCAGCTTGCGTTCCCACCAACAGTGTAGGAGGGTACCCCTTTCTCCGCATCCCCGCCAACATCTGTCGTTTCCTGACTTGTTAATTTTAGCCATTCTGACTGGTGTGAAGTGGTATCTCATTGAGGTTTTGATTTGGATTTCCCTGATGCCGAGTGATATTGAGCACTTTTTCATGTGTCTGTTGGCCATTTGTTTGAAAACCTTTCCCCATCTTTTTATTTTGATTTGTATTTTTCTGATGACTTGTGGACTTGAGCATCATTTAATATTTTTGTTGATTATTTGAATTTGATCATCTGCGAATGAGTTATGCAGATCTTTTCTGGTTGTTAAAATTTTCATCTCCGGTAAGTCTCTAAGAGTTATCTATATGTATCCTACTTGTAATTGACACACAAATTTTTTTTTTCTAACCTACTGTTTGCCTGTTAATTTTGTTTATGGAATTTTTAGGCCACGGCTATAATTTTTCATCATTAAATATGTGCACCTTTTCTTTTGCAGCTTCTGGGCTTTTGGAAGTGAGACCATGTCTTTACATTGCACATAGTTTTACCCTCTGTTTTCTTGCAAGTTTTATTGTTTTTACTTGTTGCATTTAAGTCTTTAATCCATCCAAATATATTTCTGTATATAAAATACACAAAAGTAAAACTGGGGCTTAATGTCATTTCATTTCAGCCATATAACCAGATATGCCAACACCATACTAATAAAGACTATATCTTTTTCCCCTTTGAATTGATCTCTGTTATACATTAAATCCTCCTAATTACTGACCTCAGTGTCTTGATTCCCTATCCAGTTCCATTAACCTCTAATCTTGTGTATACTAACTTCATGCTTTAAACAAAACAAAACAAAACAAAACAAAAAACCCAAACCACTCTTGGTGAGGAAGAAGAAATACAATTTGGCAGGTCAAAAGGAGTAAGAATATTCAATCTGGAGATGCATTAGGGGCCAACTTTCAAACAAAACTGAAGACGTAGGCTGTAATTGAATGTCATGATGTTTTCAATCTGCCTAAATATATAAATAATACAAGTATTCTTCTCCTTTTGCTAGTCATAAAAATGGCTGAGACAATCTTGCATACTTTTCCTTTGAAAAGTCATTTTAATTAATTCCATTATAATCTTGTTCTTTTTCATCATACCTATGCTTCAACTGTTTTGAGTAATATTGTATTAGAGTTCTCCAGAGAAGCAGAACCAATAAAATGTGTATGAATCTAGAAAGACATTTACATACGGAGTTGGCTCATGTGATTGCAGAGGCTGGTAAGCCCCTAATCCACAGTGTGGGCTGGTGGGCTGGAGACCAGGAAAGCCAACAGGGCAGATGAAGTCCGAATGCAGCCTTGGGGGGAATTAATTACCTCTTGCTCAGGGAGGCCAGTCTTTTTTGTTCCATTTAGGCTTTCAACTGATTGGATGAGCCCCCTCACCCCACCCCCACATTATGGAGGGTAATCTACTCAAAGTTCACTGATTTAAATGTTAACCTCATCCAAAGACACCTCCAAGCTGACACATAAAAGTAACCAGCACAAATATCTCAGGTTATTTTTTTTTATCCCTAAGAAAAACTAGATTTTATCCCTAAGAATATTTAGACGAGTTTTATCCCTAAGAAAATTTGTCTCTAAAATGATTTTTTATCCCTAACAAAAGTTAGATTCCTAAGGTGGGGGTGGGGAGGGAAGTGCTGAGTAGGCAAGACTTCAGGGTAAAAGTAAATAAGAATACTAGCTTACTTCTGCTCTGACCTTATTACCTGTAAGACCATTAAGGATTCCATTAACTTCAAATCACAAGGAAGGAGGCAAACCCTGTCAAGAGTTTGTTGATGTTCATTCCTTCCATCACCACTTACCTTTTACATCTCGGCCCCTACACTTCAGAGGGACTGGAACAACACTGGTGGCCAGCTGCTGGCCACTGTGGCCGCGAGAGAACTCATCACTGCTAACTTCTGCCTACTGCATGCATTCACCTGAATGTCCCCTATGTGTTGAGTAAATAAAATCTGTGTGTCTCTTAAAACAGGAGTCGTGGGTTTTCTTGCTGTAGTAGCAATGTTAGTTCTGGGTCTATTCAATAATTCAGAGGTTACAAAGAAGGATTAACTCTCTTCTCATGAAGGCTATTCAGCTCTACCCACATACAGACACAAGGAATGCTCTCTGATATTCACTCAAATGGTTAAGCCAGGGGTGAATTACTGAGCCTGGGAATCTCTGCTAGACTTACCTGGGGTGTGATCAATGTCTGGACTAGATGTTTCGGCAGGAATTCTGGTGCCAATGGCCCAGTCCAAGTCATCTTGAGAGTCCTGAGTAAGACCGCAGGCTGTGGTCCAGTTTCCTGAAGTTTCAAAATGGCAACTTCCTGCTGTGTTTGTATAACGGCCTATGGAAATGAAGATAGTAATAGAATGTTCTGGAAATGGACATTACACTTGGTATTATACTACATTTGTGATTGTTCAGAATCAGTGCCTGCCTGTTTTAATTACTTATTCATAAATTTAAAGAACCAGGACATTTGCATCCACTGGTAATTTCAATTGTACACTGTAGCTTTTTTTTTTAATCAGAAAATCTAGAGGCAGCGCATGAATATTGTCATTTATCCATGAAGAAGTTGTATGGATTGACTAATAATATTATAGATGATACATAAAACTGTGTCTACACATGAGCAATGAACAAAATATTATGATAATACAGATAAGTCAGATCGAATAAATCAACAGCTTCAGTTGTCTGGAAGTTTAATTCAGTCCCTGTGTTCACACTGGTGTTTGAACAGCATAGACCATTAGAAGGGCAAAGTCATTAACTAAAAAAAGGTGCCTTTTGGGGCACCTGGGTGGCTCAGTTGGTTAAGCGACTGCCTTCGGCTCAGGTCATGATCCTGGAGTCCCAGGATCGAGTCCCGCATCGGGCTCCCTGCTCGGCAGGGAGTCTGCTTCTCCCTCTGACCCTCCCCCACTCTCATGTGCTCTCTGTCTCTCTCATTCTGTCTGTCTCAAATAAATAAATAAAATCTTTAAAAAAAATAAAAAAATAAAAAAAAATAAAAAAAGGTGCCTTTGGAGAAGTAGTAAACGGTAGAGGACACAAACCCTCTCAGCATACCATACTAACCATCCGCATACAACATTTCAGAGCTAGTCACTAAAAAAAGTTCTAAGTGCTGATTGATAATTCATTAAAAGTTAAGTTATTCATAATGAGAAAAATTACCAGATAATAGCTGAAAGTCTACTACTTAGTCACCTGCGAAAACTACCATAATACAATTGATATCTGCTTTCATTTTTCTTTAACTTTTTTTTTTTGCAGAGCAGTTATTATTTTTGAGCATTCACTGTAAAACTGTGCTGTATAGACAGAATGACTGTGTGATTTAACCAGTATGAATCAATTGAAATTGTTATTGACTTTTCCTTCCTCTTTAGAGAGATGACATTTAGGTTGCTTTTAATATTTCTTTTCCAGATGGTTTCCCGTTCATAACTTCTTAATGTAAAACTAATACTAGCATAAAGAAATTGCATCAGAAGAAAGTCTTGCTGATAAAATGGATGCCAAACATATCGAAAACAAAGCTTTAAATAATTCTATAGAAAATCTTATGGATTCCTGACCATATTTTCATTAAATATCAGCATTTCACTTCTCAGGCATGATTGCATCTTATCCCTAAAGTCTAGAATCATTTTTAATTATATGCATTTCTTGCATTCATTCGACATGGCATATAATGCATTTAATTTTATATGCTTATTTATGGGCTCTCTATATCCCCTCCTATGTTTATCTTTTTAGTATCATGATATAAATAAGTTTATACTATGCTATGCAATATGGCTAAAAGTAAGAAATCTAGTTCTCCAAGCGTTTAGCTAACACAACTGCAAACATGCAGAATCTTCCAATATAAACATAAAACAGCCATTATGTGTTCTTTAGAATGATGTCACATACAGGATTTGCACTATTGCATTTCTACATAACTGACTCCCTAACACACAGGACCTATAATAATTATTCTATATCCTTTTTGATTCTCTGTAACCACCCTTGAATCTTCTGTTCCACCTATCTAACATATGACTTTATGTATGACTCTAAAGATGTAGATACAATCAGGATAAATTCTCTTATATTTCATTCTCTCTACCTCTAAATTATGTCATTTTTCCTTTCTCTTCTCTAGGGCTAATCCCAGTTTATGATCTCAGCACCTTATCAAGAATTCTATAGCTATTAGCATTCTATGGCTCCATTTATTTCAGTTAGAGAGCTATCCCAGGTCCTTCAATCTCACATTTTCTACCAATTCCTTTCTTACAACTTGCAGACACAGCCAGGGTGCCCCTCTTGATTGAATTTTATATGCTTAAATTTCTCACTCTGTACAGCTTTCACTCATCCTTTCTCATGGTCCTTCACACTTTAATGCAGATGGCCTACAAATCTACAGCCAGGATGGAAAGCAGGTGTTTATCTTCAAATGCTTGTTAAATACTCAACTTGGAATATGCAACTGTCGTTGCAAAATCAAAAAGCCTAAAATGAACTCATCATTCACCTCTCCAAATGAGCTCTTCTCCCTGAGATTACTGATTAAGTTCAGAGCATGAATCTTCTCCCTCTTTTTAAAATTCTACCTTTGGACTTACCTTTGGTTCTACATTCCTCATTCCCATATTCAATCTATCACCAACACTTGTAGGTTCTCTTTGAGAACTTAACTCTCTCCTTCCCTTGAAGTTTATAACCCCTGTTCCAGTTCCATTGGTCCAAGCCCCTGGTTTATTTTAAGAGCCCTTTTTTTTTTTCAGTGTAGCCTTCATTGATCAACTTTACAAACCCAAACCACATTAATCATCTTTAAGAATGCTCTTGTGTTATTTCCATTGCTCAAAATATCAGGTTTTTCACATTGTTTGAATACACTCTCCTAAACCCCTTGTCTTGCATACAATAACCTTTCCTTTGATGCAAAATGTTTTTGAAACTGAATCTTAAAATTGCCTCTATGCCAACTAAATTTTTCAGAAAATTCTTTCTTAAATAAAAACTTATTTTTTTTCAACTTTTATGTTTAGGACTACTTTCCTCTATTTTTGGAATGTTTTCTCTAGCATTTGGGGGTTCATTTATCATTCATTCTTCTCCTCTCTTGAAGAGGACAGAATTGCTATTTTATTTGACTATAATCACCTTCTTTCACTCAGATAGCCAGAGATGACTTATAAGTTATCTAAGTAATCGTGATGAGCATTGTTCTCGCCTTAGTTTAGCCATAATCCTGGAATACAGTTCTAGACATTGAGCCCTATTGTGGAAAAGGCACATAGGAAAAGTTTGCCTTGTTCTTAAAAACAAGTCAAAAGACAGAAAATCCATTTATTCTTTCTCAGGATATCACTGTAAAGATGTGAACTATGGGACTGAAGAGATTATATGGGTAGCTGACTTTATTACAAAGTCAGTTACATGAAGATGGCACAGGATTAAGAAGGGAGTCCATGTAGTTCTAATTTTTGATAACAGAAGTTGCTAAAATCAACCAACTCTAGGATTCCTTGCTTTTGACCTCTTGCTACTGGAGATAATACAGTTTCCTTATTGTATTAGTTAAAAATTGGTTGGTTCCAAGCAACTGAAAACTCAAGTAGTAGGAGCTGAAATAGACAGGAATTAATTCATCTCAATTAAACAGAAGCCAGGAAGTTGTCCGTTTAAAGTTAGTATTGTGGTTCAACTGTGTGGTTGTGAAGCACATATTTTCCATCTGTTCTTTCTGTCATCTTGTCATCCTCCTGCTCACTCATGGTTGCAAGAGGACTGTGGTACTTCCTCGTATCACATATGTTCAAGGCATTGATAGAAGTGAGAAGAGGAAAGGAGAAGACACTTTTTTTCTAGTCTGGTGTTTTTCCTTCTAAAAGAGATACCTTCCCCCAAATTCCCATGTGTATCTCATTGGCCTCTGGCAGCTACAAGGAAGTTTGGGAAAGACGGTATTTGTAGTTGGTCACAAGCCACCGCAAATAAAATTGGGAGTTCTGTTTTTAAGAAACACAAAGGAGGGCCAGGCAACTAACAGGAATTACCTTGATGTTAAGCTGGTTGACGCTGAAGTTTCTGCTACAAGTATATTAATTAATGTATCTTCTTCATTCCATCTAGCAAATCATACCCATCTTCGAATGTTCAACTTATGTCCTATCTTTCCCTTTCCAGACCACGTCAGAGTATGTGTGCATGTGGGTTTTATGGCCCTTAACAGCGATTATAGTTATTACTACTCATTTGGAAATTCATTACTTCTTTATTGTGGATTGTCACTGTAACTGTTCACCATTGAATTACTATAAACGTTTCTATGTGGGCAGTATTACTACTGCCCAGAGTGGTTCCATATATACCTATTAAATCATAAATGATATGAGGAACTTTGTAATATTTCTTGATGATGATTATGTGGTTGGTATTTTCAAAATGGTTATTGCTTTTGATAAAGTATTTTCTAAATTGTGATCTTTGTCATGATTCCTGGAATAGACTTAAAAGCATTACCAACAACATTTAAACAAATGGCATTTCCCCAGTGGTATGGTATTCAGCCATACAGTGGTATGGCTAGTGTACATATTGATCAACTTACCTATATATTTTTTAAGAGCTAGCCCCATAATTATTTTTAATTCATCATATTCACATATGCACCTTATTTTGCTATACCACAATGCATAATACAGGGATATTTAATACTTTCTCCTCAGCATGAAATGGCTTCATAGAATGCTGCATTGTGAAGGATTTTGAAGACTCTGGGTTCAGTGGGAAAGAAGGCTCTGACTGGATAATGATATTTGGGTTTTTTTGTCTGTTTGTTTTAAAGATTTTATTTATTTATTTGACAGAGAGAGACAGCGAGAGAGGGAACACAAGCAGGGGGAGTGGGAGAGGGAGAAGCAGGCTCCTTGCTGAGCAGGGAGCCCGACATGAGGCTCGATCCCAGGACTCCAGGATCATGACCTGAGCCAAAGGCAGCGGCCAACTGAGCCACCCAGGAGCCCGTGATATTTGTAACTGTTGTAAAAGGCAGCAGAGAATGCATGCATCCATACCCTGCACATCCCTAGCCTAGAGTACAAGGAACACTTAACACAGGCTTTAGGTGATAATTTTGTTCCATGTAAGAAAAGAGCACATTTTTTTACTTAACTATTTCTTTTAAAAAGAATCGATTTCATTTATTCTAAACCATGAATTTTTGCAACAGAAGTTAGAGATGTAAAAGAAAAATTTATCTTTGTTTATAACCTACAGTAAAAACTTATGAGGAATCGCTGAGTTTATTTTCTGATAAGCATATAAAGTACATATAATAACATCCACCATGACTGACAAATTTCAAGAGTATAAAAATAATGAAATGAAAGAGGCTAACATTATTAATCCTAGAAGACTAAACAAATATGTTCTTTATGCCATTTAATTCTCAAAGTACTCTATAGAATGGATATGATTCTATCTAATATAAAGATGAGGAAACGAGTCCCCGAGAATTTAAATAATTGCTCAGCATAGGAGGGTCAGCATCAAAATGAAGACTTCAGTTTAATAAACCAAAGGTCCATTTTTTCCTTATATTTCTCCAAAGGCCATTTTGAAAATTTTGTAATTTATTTCGTCATCCACAACAGGTTATCTGATTGCAGGAATCTAACCCCGATGCCTCCAGTGTATCCAAAAGAATATCAACATAAAATAAGTGATGAAGTCACTCTGCAGAATCAATAAGTCACCGGTATACCCATGTGTATTGTGTAGTGTTCCTTTTGGATGTGAACAAAGCCTATCAAAGGTCTTAAGGAAAGTGACTATTTCATTTGTCAACATATTGTTTTAATTTTAATAAAATCAAACACTGCATGTAGTTGTCCACCAAAGTTGTAGGTAACGCTAACAAATATGAGTGTGCAACTGACTCAGGTTCTGAAAATCAAAACTGCCTTTGTGTACTTTTACATCAATACTTCAAATAGCTGTGGGAAAAATAAAAATCATATAAAGGAGACTGAGAGGAAAAATGAGTGAAGCCAAGGGGGGGGGGGGAACAGCATTCACATTTGAAAAACCAAAATACTTAGTAACTTTTTAGGTTTTACAAGCCGATACTTTCGTTGCCCGGGCACACGCACGCACGCGTGCACACACCCACTATTCTTTATCGGCACTCCCCAAATACACTGGGATAACCTTATTATTAATAGCACTTGCTACATTCCAAAAGCAATCAGAATTCTTTTACAACTAACTTTTTCAAAAAGCAAAGAACACTGTATTTTAATATATCCCCCTGCCCTTCCCCCACAGTAGAAAGTAAGTTGCTTAAGTCTAAGACGATGTCTTATTCATTTTTCTACTTATTCAACATTTAGAAAGTTGTTCCTAGCCCATACTAAGAACAGCAATAAATGGAAGAATATAATTTTTATATGAATATGTTCAATACATGTGCATCTTGAAATGAGAGGAAGAAAATGTACTTCCTGTAACTATTTTTTCTTTGTGCACGTGAACAGCTATCCTTCCCCTCACTGGTTTATTATGTCAATGTCATCATGTTCAAATTATTCTTCCCTTAGAATTTTTATTTTGTTTTGGTGGTGATTTCTAAATACTCTCTACTTGTTATGCCTGGTGGGGAAAATAGTGATTTTACAAACGTCTTGGAGCGGTTTTTTGAGCTCCATTGCAATCGGTTCTCTACAGTCAGTATCAAAAAATATATTTTTTTGGAGTGCTTTTAAAAAAGCTAGGAAGTTCCAAGTTATACGCAAACAATGAATCATGGAACACTACATCAAAAACTAATGATGTAATGTATGGTGATTAACATAACATAATAAAAAAAAGAAAAAAAAGCTAGGAAGAACACTAGGGAAAGAAAACTAACTTAAATTTAAATAGAAGCTTTTAAAAAAGAACACTATAAAGTATTTTTCAATATATTATAAATTTCATTTGAGAATGGGCATATATTATAAAGGAAATACATAATCGTTTATAAAATAAGATTATAATACTGTAGCACTGATAGTACAGTCTTAAGAAGTGCCAGTGATTTTCACTTCCTTGACACTTTGGTTTAAAATTAAAATATAGCATTAATGTTGAGAAATTTATGATAAGTAAAATAAGCCTATCACAGCAAGACAGATACTGTATGATTCCACATACTGGTATTACATACCCAAACTGTCAAATGCATAGAAACAGAAAATCAAATGGTGGCTTTCAGGGGCTGGGGGAGGGAAAATGGGGTGTTAATTGTTTAGAGTATAGGGTATATAGTATAGGGTATAGAGTTTCAGTTTTTCCAGATGAAAAAATGTTCTGGAGATGAGTGGTGGTATCTGGACAACAACGCAAATGCACTTAATGCCACTGAACTATACAGTTAGAAATGGTTAAAATGGTCAATTTTATGTTATGTACATTTTACCACAATTTAAGAAAATTAATAAATACAAAAAAAGATGATAAAATGAATACTTCAGAAGCATCATTACTCTAAGATCCTGAGGAATAAAGATGATACTGAGTTAAAAAGAAAAACTGGAACATGACTTCTGTGGTACTCCCTTCGTGTACATGCATGACATTGTCCCAAAGGGCGAGTCTATCCCCTTTCTCTCTTTGAATTGAAGCTAGACATTTTAATTTGCATGACCATTAGAAAGAGCCAAGAGTGACATTCTAGAATTTCTGAGGCTAAGTCATACGAATTCTTCCTGTTTTTCCTGTGGCTCTTGGAATACTTGCTCTTGAGAGCATTTACTCTGGTAAAAACCAATCCCATGCAAGATACCTGGCTGTCCCGTGACAGCCCTGTTATGGAAAGCCCAAGCTACGTTAGATTGCCTTGGAGAATGAGATGTATGTCAAGCCAGACAGAGAGACCAAAGAGTACCAATGTGCCAAACCCAGAGGGGAGGAAGCCATCTTGAAAGTGACACTCCAGTTCCAGGTATACCAGTTGGAGCCATGTGGATGAGAACCTGCCTCGCTGATTCTTTTCTGAATTACTGATCCACAAAATTGAGAGCAAAATGAAACTTTTTTAGGCTACTAACCTTTAAGGGAGTTTGCTATGCAGCAAACCCTAACTGCAAAAGGTAGCCTATATGGTAGCGAGGTTCCCTATGAAGGCTCATTAATAAGAAATACAAAAACAATTTTTTTTGGATTTAAATACATGCTCATATTTGAAAACTACATACTTGGTTTTATGCATGACTTTTAAAAATCACTTGAATTGGGCACCTGGGTGGCTCAGTTGGTTGAGCGACTGCCTTCGGCTCAGGTCATGATCCTTGAGTCCCGGGATCGAGTCCCGCATCGGGCTCCCTGCTCGGCGGGGAGTCTGCTTCTCCCTCTGCCCCTCCCCGCTCTCATGTGCTCTCTCTCCTCTCATCCTCTCTCTCAAATAAATAAATAAGATCTTAAAAAAAAAAAATCACTTGAATTAAAGTTTGAATAAAAAAAAAACAATGTGGCCAATCTAGTTCTCCTTTCCCAGAGCAATGTAATTGATAAAATTAATCATTTACTCGTATTTATTTGAAGCGCTCATTTTTAGCCTTATCTTTCCATAAAATGGAAAAGGAAATGAAAACCAATGAAGAAATGTAGACAGATAGGTCAGTTTCTGGTGATTAAAATTCTGACCCCCCATGCAGTTCTGCACAATGACATGTTGAGAAATTTTTTGACAAGATTTGCTGTGGTGTTTAGTATTGGGGTAAAACGGTTGAGAGGGCTGCGATTTGGATGCGTGGATAGAGAAGCTGGGAAAAAAAAGGTTCTGGCTATTTTAAATCTACTCCGGTGCATGAAAAGAACATTTCCTCTCCGTCATCAATGCCAGTATGTTACTTTCCCAATAAAGTGAAATCTGTGCTGAATGGGCTACATCAGAGCAAACAGATCCACTTACCACAGTCAGCCTCATCAGACCTATCAGAGCAGTCTGGCTTATAGTCACAGACAAGGTGGGATGCAACACACTTCTTGTCGTGGCACAAAAAATCAGTGGCTTCCGGGCAACTCTCAGAAGTCTCTCCCACTGGGGAAAAAAAAAATAAAAACAAAGTCATTTTTATACTTCTTTAAATTTGAATATTCCTTTTAGTAGGTTTATAGATACATTCAAGTTAAGTTACTGATTTTAATAGGTATCCAAGGCAGACTTCTAGACACCTCCCCGCTCAGTCCCACATCCAATTTTTCAGCAAGTTATACAGACTGTGGCCTTCAAAATCATCCATTCCTTAAATCCAACATCTTAATCCAGGCACTAAAAATAATTTGCGTTGGGTTCCAGCTTAGTTTTCTAGTCCCATTTTCTGCAACTCTCCTCGTAAGTACCTGCAATTAAACTACAGTACATCCTACTCCTGAAGGGCTCACCAACAGGTCACATGCTCTTCATCTTTTCCTGTTAGCACATCCGCTAATTCCTTCACCTACACTGACCATTCCCTCTTGTGCTCCTGGAGGTCTGCTCAACCTCGGAACTCAAGGAAACAGCTTCCCTCTCCCCTTGTGTTGCCTTTTCTTGGTCAACCAAGCCCCAGGTTGGGTTCTCTATGTTTCATGCCACCTAAGAACCCTTCTATTCCTATGTTAAATGTTTACCACCTCATAGAAAAGCTGTATTACAGCTCTGCCTGCCCCTCCAGACTCCAAGCCCCTTAGAAGCAGGAGTTTGGGATGTGTTTTCTTAGGCAAACACAGTCCCTAATCCATAGTTTGTGCTTAATAAATTCTGGGTATAATAACAGAAGGCATACTAGTTTCATCTAAAGGGAGCTTAGGAATGAACATAGAATTTTCAAAGAAATTCATACTTTTTAATTGAAGTATAATGACCATACAGTGTTATATTAGTTTCAGGTGTACAATACAGATATTCACCAATTCTATACATTACTCAGTGGTCAGGTAAGTATATTCTTAATCCCACTTATCTCTTTCACCTGTTCTCCTCCACCCCCTTCCTCTCTGGTAACCATTAGTTTGTTCTCCGTATTTAAGAGTCTGTTTTTTTGTCTCTTTTTTTTCTTTGTTTGGTTTCTTAAATTCCACATATGAGTGAAATCATATGATATTTGTCTTTCTCTAACTGACTTATTCCACTTAGCATTACACCCTCTAGGTCCATCCATGTTGTTGCAAATGGCTGAATAATATTCCAGTGTGTGTGTGTGTGTGTGTGTGTGTGTGTGTGTGTACATCACATCTTTATATATAGGGTATGGTGTGTGTGTATATTTGTATATACACACATCACATCCATTCATCTACGAATGGACACTTGAATTGCTTCAATATCTTGACTATTGTAAATAAGGCTGCAATAAACTTAAGGGTGAATGTATCTTTTTGAAATAGTGTTTTCATTTGCTTTGGAAAAATATCCAGTAGTGGAATTACTGGATCATAAGATAATTCTACTTTTAATTTTTTAAGGAACCTCTACACTGTCTTCTACCATGGCTGTACCAATCTTCATTCCCACCAATAGTGCATGAGGATTCTTTTTCTCCACATTCTTGCCAACACTTGCTATTTCTTGTGTGTGTGTGTGTGTGTTTCATTTTTGTTTTTGTTTATGCCATTCTGACAGCTATAAAGGAATTGTTTTGATTTGCAATTCCTTGATGGTTAGTAATGCTGAACACCTTTTCATATGTCCTCATTCCATATGTATGTCTTCTTTGGAAAAATGTCTATGTGTCCTCTGTCCATTTTTTAAATATGATTTTTTTTGATATTGAGTTGTGTAAGTTCTTCATATATTTTGGATAGTAACCCCTTATCAGATATATCATTTGAAAATATCTTCTCCCATTGAGTAGATTTTTTTTTTGTCCTGTTGATTTTTCCCTTTGCTGTGTAAAAGCTTTTTATTTTGGTTTAATCACGAGATTTTAATTTTGCTTTTGTTTCTCTTGAATGAGGAGACATATCTAGAAAAATGTTTCTATGGCTGATGTAAAAGAAATTATTGCCCATGTTTTCTTCTAGCAGTTTTATAGTTTCAGGTCTCATATTTAAGTCTTTAATCCATTTTGAGTTTATTTTTGTGTAATGGTATAAGAAAGTGGTCCAGTTTCTTTTCCATGTAGTTGTCCAGTTTTCCCAAAATCATTTGTTGAAAGAACTGTTTTTCCCCATTGTATATTCTTGCCTCCTCTGTAGTAGATGACAATATAAGTGTGGGTTTATTTCTAGATTCTCTATTATGTTCTATTGATTGATATGTCTGTTTTTTGTGCCACTACCATACTGTTGTGATTACTACAGCTTTGTAGTATATCTTGAAATCTGGGATAGTGATGCCTCCAGATTTGTTCTTCTTTTTCAAGACTGCTTCAGCTACGTAGGGTATTTTGGGGTTCCATACAAATTTTAGGAATATCTGTTCTAGTTCTGTGAAAACTGTCATTGGTATTTTGATAGGGATTACATTAAATCTATAGATTGCTTTGAGTAGTATGGCCATTTTAACAATTTTCACAGGTAAATTCTATCAAACATTTAAAGAATTTATACCAATTCTTCTCAAACTATTCCAAAAATAAAAGAGGAAAGAAAGTTTCCAAATTCATTCTATAAGGCCAGATTTGCCAATACTGAAACCCGAAAAAGACAAAACCAAAAAAAGAGAACTATAGGCCCATACCTCTGATGAACATAGATGCAAAAATCTTCAACAAAATATTAGCAAACTGAATCCAGCAACACATGAAAAAAATCATTCACTAAAATCAAGTAGTATTTATTCCTGCGATGCAAGGGTGGTTCATTACTCATAAATTAATCAACATGACACATCAGATTAACAAGAGAAAGGACAAAAACCATATAATCATCTCAAGAGATGTAGAAAAAACATCTGACAAAGTACAACATCCATTCATGACAAAAACTATCAACAAAGTAGGTTCAGAGGGAACATATCCCTCAACATAATAAAAGTCATATATGAAAAATCCACAGTTAATACCATCTTTGAGGGAGAAAAACTGAGAGCTTCTCATCTAAGATCAGGACTAGGATGTCCACTCTCACTACTTTTTTTCAAGGTAGTACTGAAAGCCCTAATCACAGCAATCAGACAAGAAAAGGAAATAAAAGGCATCCAGATTGGTAAGGAAGTAAAACTTTTACTATTTGCAGATGACATGATACTCTATATAGAAAACACTAAAGACTCCACCAAAAAACTGCTAGAATAAATGAATTCAGTAAAGTCATAAGATGCAAAATTAATATGCATCTCTATACACTAATAAGAAAGTATCAGAAAGAGAAATTAAGAAAACAATCCCATTTACAATTCTACCCAAAATAATAAAATACCTAGGAAGAAACTTAACCAAGGAGTGAAAGACCTGGACTCTGAAAACTTTAAAACACTGATGGAAGAAATTGAAGATGATATAAAAAAATGGAAAGATATTCTATTCCCATGGATTGGAAGAACCAATATTGTTAAAAGTCCATATTACTCAAAGCAATCTATAGCAATTTACATATTTGAATATCATTTTAAATCACAGGAAGTACAATGATGGTATTTCATACCTTCACAGAGATGTGAATTAAAGGTCCCAAACTATTTTTATCTAGTTCAACAAATTAAATAAATCTCACAATTCCTTTGTTACACAGATTATTATAGGTACAGAGCTGGTGTGCCTGAGGTGAGGGTAATTTACTCAAAGTTAGGTCGTATTTCCATGAAGAAAAATAGTAAATATCCATGGATTTGATAAAAATGCAAGTTTTAACTTGTATAATTTCCAGAAATAATTTACCAGTAAAATATAGTAATAAATATGTAGAATGAAAAGAAGGCATCTAAGAAAATGGCAAATAGTTTAACTATGGGCATCAGCAAGAAGAATTAAAGGTCCATTGAGTGGTTTAGAAGCTTTGCCACATAATTTTTAAATAACACTAGTGAGAATTTATAGTTAACCCAGAGCAGTATGTGGACATTATTTAGTATGCAACGCTATGCATTGGGGATTATTTTATTTCTCCATGCCATAGGCTGTGGAGCCATATATAATTACTCCACAGAGGAAATGTGTTTTGACTTTAAACAATTCATTCTTTAGTTTTTAAAAGTGACTAAAATAGACTACATCTCTGAATGAGGCTCATTTCCTTAACAATATAGAATAGCAGTGACATGAAAAGAAATCAGGTCAATGCTTTGAATTGCAGTAAAGCAAGCAATGGCTAAAATTTCTATAGCACAGATATCGCACCAAGAAAAAAGAAAAAAGCCTACAATTCTAAGAAAAATAGATCTTCTTTAAGACAAGAATGTAGTCAGTCAGACAGTTGCTACCAAAAACCTGGTAAATAGAAAAGGCAGATTATGTTAGTGGGAATGTCTTACACATATTTAGCCACTTTCAATTTCTTTATTCAGTCAAAATGATAAAAGCAGTACCTACTAACCTGGTTGACAAATATGTGGAATGAACGATAATCTCACATATTGCATAGTTATAAGAATGGAAAGAACATTGGTGCTCATAATAGAGTTAAAGATAATATGGCTGGCAGAATAGGACATATTAAAAAAAAAAAAACTAGACTGAGTATTTATTTTAGGAAAAAAAAAGTTAGGGCACCTGAGTGGCTCAGTCAATTAAGCATCTAACTCTTGATTTCAGCTCAGGTCATGATTTCAGGCTTGTGAGATCAAGCCCCATGTCAGGCTCTGTGCTGAGCCTGGAGCCTACTGAAAATTCTCTCTCTCCCTCTCCCTTTGTCCCTACCCCTCCCTCTCTTAAAAAAAAAAAAAAAAGGAAAAAGAAAAAAAAGTTGGCAGAATCCTAAAGACCTAAAACTAAAGTATGATAAATTGAAAATCCTACAATGAAGAAAAGGTCTATAAAATAATGTAGCTGAAATATTTCATCCAATAAAAGCACGATGCATATGTAAGGCTGATCCGTTATGGCTTTGAACGAACTGTCACCAACCTGAAAGGGACTCCAATTTAAAACTGGCTTTATTCAGCTTTGAAACAGAATTGAC